TTGAGTTGCAGAGAATGTGTTAAATGTCTATGGAGATTCTCAGCCATCCAGGTCATGGGTATCCCAAAGGTGCTTTTTCAAGAGGCAACTGAACTTTCTGGTTTTTCTTTGAAGACGTTTCACCTCTCATCCAAGAAGCTTCTTCAGCTCTGACTACAAGCTGTCTGATAGGAGCTGTCTGCAAGGAGTATAAATCCTTCCATTCCCCACCATCCAGTCGGAACTGAAGAAGCTTCTTGGATGAGAAGTGAAACGTCTTCAAAGAAAGCCAAAAAGTCCAGTTGCCTCTTGAAAAAGCACCTTTGGGATATGATGTGTTTCTTGTGTGCATTGTTAATGTAGAAGTGGGGAGTTAGCAGTAGATCCAGGACTCAAGGCCCATAGATGTTGCCATATTAAGAATATTGGATTCTTTTTCTAATTTCTGTCATGAAAGAAAAGGGAAGGAAGGCATTAAGTACTTTGTCAAGTTGTTCGGCGCACTCTGGAAGTGAACTCAACCTCATTAGTGTCTCCCTCATTAATATGTGCACTGGAATGCCTACAAATGTTGTGTTTCTCCAAATTTTTATGAGACTCTCTGATCAAGATGCTGGATGGCCAAGTAGGAGGAGATGCACACCATTTAAATGATAATTTTCACACAACTTCTTTTTAAGAGTTCTAAAAAGACTGCAGGAAGTGGACTTCATGTTTGAACGCTCAGAAAATTAATACTGACTGAAACTGACCAGATCTAGCTGTACCTAAATAAAACATACTGAGAATGCCTACTGTGAGCACCTCCATAATGTGCTTTTAAAGATAATGTTTTTAAAGTACTGAGGAGTATGAGGGAAGAATTTACTCTTCTAAAAACTATATGCCAAGCAGTCCTCTCTCCCGCCCGCCCGCCTGCCCTCTTTCCCTCCCTCCCCCCTCTCTCCCCCTCCCAAAGGGGGGGGATACTAATACCACTCTATAAAGCCTTAGTAAGACCTAGAATACTGCATCCAGTTTTTGCCACCACACTATAAAAAGATGTTGAGACTCTAGAAAGAGTACAGAGAAGAGCAACCAGGATGATGAGGGGACTGGAGGCTAAAACATGCGATGAACGGTTGCAGGAACCGGGCAAGGCTAGTCTAGTGAAGAGAAAGACCAGGGGAGACACAATAACAATCTTCCAATATTTGAGGGGCTGCTACAGAGAGGAGGGGTCAAACTATTTCCCAAAGCACCCGAAGGCCAGACAAGAATAATGGATGGAAACTGAATAAGGAGAGATTCAAACTAGAAATAAGGAGACATTTTCTGACAGAACGATCAACCAATGGAACAGAAGTTTCCTTCGGAAGTTGTGGGAGCTTCAACACTGGAAACTTTCAAGAAGAGACTGGACTGCCATCTGTCAGAAAGGGTGTATGGCCTCCTGCTTGGGCAGGGGATTGAACTAGATGACCTCCAAGGTTAATCTGTTAAAATTAATTGACCAGTGGAGCAATTTGCCTCTGTTAAAGAATTGGTGGCTAGGTATATTTGTAGTACGCAGATAGGCAAGTCGTTCTTTTCTTTGGGATGAACTACATTTGAGGGTAAATAAAATGGGGGATTTAGATATGCGCTCATTTTATATCCTAGTTCAGAAGTCGCCAGTATTGCCATTATGGACTGATTTAACCAGGTTTTGCACCAGAGCTGGCCTTGCCCCTTCCATTTTCCTCACTGCTTGGGCCTTAAACCGGCAAACTTTCCCTGCAGATTCAGTCATTGTTTTTCCGCTGCTCTTGTCTCTCTTTTAATGAGTATCCCAGCATGGGCTCCCTGTAGTTGCGAACACCGCTGTCTCTTGTTACTCCTCTCCACCTGCTTAATCAGGACGGCTACACGACCTTGTTCATACTGAGGGGTGTAGCACTGAGATGGCTCCTCCTTGATGCTTCCTTCCTCAGGGTGGACTTGGTGGCCCAGCAAACATGGACTGGTTTGTTGTTCCATTGTAGGAAGTTATCATCCAGCCCTCTCCCAGAAAAATGAAATATCCTAGGAAATATTGAAAAGGCAGAATATTTCTCTGGATGTGAAAAGAAACATGTTTTAAAAGACAATAGTTGCCTATAGCTTTCTGCCCATCCCCAGCTAATGGGCCATTAAGACGGCCAAGCTAGCCCACTTTACATAATAAAGACTTCTCCTCACTGCAGCTGTAGGGGAAGGGATATTACTCAACTGACCACAAAGCAACTGAGAACTCATCACAGCCTAGAGAGTAGCCCCCTGCATGGCACCATGGGAGTCTGACAACCAGTCAGAATACATTTCTTACACAGGAACAGGAAACAGAGAGGTGGGACTGAACAGGGTATAAAAGCCTAGCAAGCCCCTTCCTCAGCCCTTCTCTTCTTCTTCACCTACATTGAAGCATGTGATCACCTTTTCTGGTCAGGGCTCAAGCCATGTGGCCCTGTCCAACAATAAACCATCTTTCCAAGCAGCCTCCATGTCCTCAGTGTCTTCTTCCCCACTTGGAGCTGAACCCAGAAGGACATTTCTTTCAACACCATCACATTAAAGGAAGGGGGGGCGCATCTGTCATGGTTTTGCAGAACTTTCCTGGGGAGCTGCCCCAGGAAAGATGTCTCTAGCATCACGCTTATCAGGAAAAGAAGTGACCAAAGTTCACTTAGTGACCGAAGTTACAACAGCACTGAAAAAAATGAAGTATTGCAGGCGACTTCTGCTGACTGCCGGCTGACTGTAATTTAGCAGTTCAATTCTCACTGGCTCAAGGTTGACTCAGCCTTCCACCCTGTCCTGACCCAGCTCCCCAAACACGACAAACCCTCTGAAGCTAACTCAGATGTTTCACTATTAGGAGCCCCAGCAAAAAGCTTCTCTCTCACCACAGGCTAACAAGTCCGGAAGATGAATAGTTGTCTGCCACATCTATTCATCTCCGTCCCCTGCTTTGTATCCCCAGAGCTATGGTGGGGCTTTGCTAGCAGTGGTGGCTCTTCCTTCCCAAGGATCGGCCCATGGATTTCCGCTGCTCTCCTCTCCTTCTGTGCATTTGCGTGTCAGGCACTGGACCCAGATTTTCCGCCTCAGGCTCTGCCTCTGTGTGTGTCTCCCTCTCTGCCAGCTCAATTTCCTCTTTCCCCTTGGAACTCTCAGGTTGTCTTGATGCTGATTCCCACAACTCCTCCTTCTCTGATTTGGCTGCTGGAAGGACTGGCAGCCAATAGGCCACAACACACCCTTCTGAAGTGGGTAAAATGAGGACCCAGATTGTTGGGGGCAATATGCTGACCCTGTAAACCGCTCTATGGTTGTGGGCCGGCTGCAATAGGGCCCACAACCCTAGAGTGGCCGCTGCTGGAAGAATTGGAAGCCGAGCTCTGGAGTTTGAAGCCGGAGACAAAGTTAAAACAAAACAAAGCAGTATTGCAGTCCCAGCTTTACCCAACCTTATCCATGAGTCTGTAGTTGCAACCTATGTTTGAAAGTCTACTTCCCCCCCACCACCACCATCGGTCCTCTCACCAGACTTTCCACTTGGAAAGAATCATTCACCTCTCCATGTGTGGCCAGCAAAACCTGCTGTTGTTGTGGTGGCAGCATGCCTGCAAATAAAATAATTCTGCTGTTGGGCAAAGGAACACTATTCATCCATCATGGGATGTCAGCCAGCTGTTGTGTTGGCAAAAAAAAATGGGGGGGGGGAGAGAAGGAGATGACAGATTCTATGAAACAAACTGAGCTCGAATGCAAATGAAAAAGGCAGGGGGAGTTGGAAAAACAGAAGAAGATGCCCCCCAAAAATGCAGAAAGCCAGTGTACTATAAGGATTGATTGCAGCAGATCTAAGCTGCTAGGCTTAGCCAGACTGCTGGTTCATTTAGCTTGGACTCCAGAATTGTGACAGAATTGGGTGCTTCTGAGAAATGATTAGGAGAAACAGAAACTGTTTACCATTAGTTGCTTGTTCCCAAAGTCCTACACGGTGGTGTCCACCTAGCCTGATGGCCACTCACATATGATATTCTGTTATTCTTTTGAATTTAACTTAATTTAATTTTGAATTTATGGGGCCATGGTGGCGCAGTGGTTAGAATGCAGTATTGCAGGCTTATTCTGCCGATTTCCAGCCGTTCAATTCTCACCCGGCTCAAGGTTGACTCAGCCTTCCATCCTTCCAAGGTCGGTAAAATGAGGGCCCAGATTGTTGGGGGCAATAGGCTGACTCTGTAAACTGCTTAGAGAGGGCTGTAAAGGGCTGTGAAATGGTATATAAGTCTAAGTGCTATTGCTATTAACTACTGTACTGTTGTGGGTATGAGTGCCATGAAAATTGTTCAGCAGCCTTAAACATATTGGTATTTTATCCAATAAAGGTCAAATTAAAACATGGCTTCTCATGGACCTTATTTATCACCACAGTTTTGGCAGCACTTCTGAGATCAAAAGCATGTAGTTTGATAAATATATACACACTTTTGTTGCTGTGAAGTTTGGTGCAGTTTTTAATTTGCGGTTTGTGGAGTTTTGGAATCTTTGTTACCAAGGCTTTAATATTTTCTGATAAGTCTATTCTTTTTTTCTAAACCCACACTCTTCCAGATCTATTGAATTGGTTGAAAAGTGTCAAAGTTGGATTTCCTGAGGAACATTAGTTTGGGAAGACTAGCCCGGAGTGAGTCAGAGCATTGCAACCTCCCATTGAGATAGTAATATACTATGGCACATACTTTAAATCAGATTTCTCCAATTTGATGTCCTTCAGGTATATTAGACTGAAGTTCCTATAACCCTCATTCCACATATTTGTTGGCCACAAGGTTATGGATGATGGGAGATTTTATTCTATGTATTCGGAAAGTGCCATGATGGAGGCAGCTCTTCCCTAGATTTCTGTTTGACTTGAACTCAGCATGATTCAGGCAAGGTGTACCATATGGATAACTGAAGAGTCACATAGTATGCATGATCTAGTATAACCTCCTTTGTTTATTCTTTGATAGGTTGTATGTGCCGAGGGCCATGGAACCAAGACCCTGAACTATCTTGAGATGAGTCCTTCAAGTGTCTTGAAGACTGGACCCTATGGTAGCTCTTTCAAACCCCACTCACTCAGCCCTGGCCGGATATTTTCCAATGAGCCATCCAAAGCCAAGCTGGACCCTTTTGTTGGAGCACTGAGTCCATGGGACTGGACCAAGAATCAGACAGCCATGGAGCACTTCAATCAGCGAGCCAAAAGGAAGCCCTCAATGAAGGCCGGTCGTACTAAGAAGATCTTTGGATGGGGGGACTTTTATTTCAACATCAAGACCTTGAAGTTTAGCCTCCTTGTGACAGGCAAGATTGTGGATCACATTAATGGTACCTTCAGTGTCTATTTCCGACACAACTCCTCCAGCCTGGGCAACGTCTCGGTGAGCATTGTGCCACCCACCAAAGTTGTAGAATTTGACGTCTTGGTTCCTCCTATCCCCACCCAACATCTCCATCCCCAGCAGTCCACCTTAGCTGAGCCGAAGGAATCCAAGACCTTCAATTGTCATGTGGAGTATGAGAAGACAAACCGGGCACGCAAGAATAAGCCCTGCCTGTATGATCCATCCAAGATCTGTTTCACTGAGCATACACAGAGCCACGCAGCCTGGCTCTGTGCTAAACCGTTCAAGGTCATCTGTATTTTCATCTCATTCTTCAGCATTGATTACAAGCTGGTTCAGAAAGTCTGTCCGGACTATAACTTCCAGAATGAGAATCCCTACTTTGGCTGATGGATGGACTGGGCCTTTGAGGGATGGGGATGTGGGGGATGAAATAAGTTGTGGTTTTTATCCAGCAAAGAGTCAGAACTTTGGATGACCGGGGAAGAAAAATACGAACTCCCTACCATGCTTGATGGGACAAAAACAGCTGGTTTGGTTTAGGAACTGGATGTTGTTCCATCAGACATTCCACTTCCAGTAGCCAGTGAATTTCCCAGGACATTAGGAAGATGAAGAGTGACCAGAAGGACAATATTGTTTTCACAACTCATTCATCCCCTTTCTGATGCCATTTGTGAGCATCTCACGGGGATTCCCTGCAAGATGAAGAAATAGCTTGCTGTGGCTGTATCTCTTTTGTGCATACATAACCCCTGCTGCTTTGGTAGGGTTCTTACACTGGCTACATGTTCACATCCCTCAGGATCATATCTCCCAGATGGAATGTGAAGGTTCAGGTAGCAGTAACAAATTCCTCCCTTTCTCAGACTGTCAAACACCATCCAGCTGAGTTCTCCTTGGAATTCCCATAGGCCTAACTGAGGGTGGGTGGGTGGGTGGGTGGGAATAGACTATTAACCAAGTGCACTAATTCAGGTCTCATCAGATAACATAGAAGAGCAAATGTCAGCAGGGTTGAGGGACACTTGTCTAGGGTGGGAAATCCAGCAGCATGAGCTTTCCTGTTCCAATAAGAAAAAATGAAATGTGGAGGTAGCATCATATGAAATATGGGAATCTCTATCAAGTGGAATTAAAGAGGGTACTTGAGATGTGAGTGAGATCATAGCATATGGCATATGCCTGAGCAGAACAGGAACAATTGGAAGTATGTAAGGTAGTATGTTGATGCAGTGAGAACAGTATTGTGTGTGCGTGTTCTGTGAGAGAGAGACAGACAGGGAGTGTGGGAGAAAGAGAGAGAGAAAGTAGAAGCATGACATCCAAGCCATGTGTAAGACAATGATTGAAATTAATCAAAAATAAGTATATGTGTGCAAAACCTAGAGCATGTATGTATAGAAATTTGTGTCCCATTAGGCGCCTACTTGTCACCTTAGTGACATACACCCACAAGATCATTTTGTATGAGTAGATAAGGAGAAACATAGAGTATGGGTTGAATTAGATCTGCAAATTTGCAGTGACTGATTCAGCAGATCACTTAACAAGATCCTTGATCACAGATTAAAAGTTGATTGACAGTCCCAAGATTGAAAGGCACCCCATGATCTAACCGGCACAAGTGTAGCAAGTTTTTTCTTCCACTGGATTGGTTGTCTCTCCAATTTCCCTCCTAAATGAACTGACTTTGGATTTAATTTAACAGAATAACAGAATTGGAAGGGACCTTGGAGGTCTTCTAGCCCAACCCCCTGATCAGGCAGGAAACCTTATAACATTTTACTCAAATGGTTGTCCTATCTCACAACTTCTGGAGCCAAATTGTTACACTGTGGAACAATCGGGTTTTCCTGATGGCAGGCAGAGTCCAGTGCAGATAGGATTGGGAGTCCTTACATTTAAGTGACAGCTGTCTTTTAAATGTAGATTCTCCACCACATATGAGATTGGAGCTTGCTCAGACTCAAAGTCATTTTGGTTCTGGTGTACTGCTATATAGTTAGAGATGCTCTGTATTAGAGAGGTAATAAAGAGGCTCTTCGGAGCAAGAAATAATTATATTTGGTTATTAAATTGCAACCGTCCTCTTGTTTAATAGAAATCCAGGACATCCCAATTTTCAATAGACGTAAATAATATATTTTACAATTGGAGCAATGTTTCAGTCAGCAATTTATTAAATTCCCAAGATGGAGGTTGGGTACTGACTATATCATTAGTACCAATGTTCCTGATACCAGTTTTCACTTAGTCTTAAGGGATGGAAAGGCTATTTTCTTAGAAAACATTCCACAGGATTGGATGGTTGTGTTATATAAAGCAGGTCATTGGGTTAAACCAGACTATGATTTATTTTGTTTTTGGACATACCATATTCTGTAAACTTACAGACTAAGCTTCCTTAATTTAGGTTTAATTTAGGTTTAGTTTATAATGCAAGCCTTATCAGAAAATGATTGCTCGCTGCAACTCTGACAAAAAAGACCAAAAGAAATAAAAAATAAAACCATAGTCCCCTTCTATTTCTTCCCTTGCTCAATACACGACTGAAAGGAGCTTTATTTTTCTTGGAAGAGTTATTCTAAAAGCAATTTATTATATTTCTGCTCTGTTACTTTGTGGCATAGAATGGTGTGGAGGCTTTCAAAGACTATATGGGAGACATTTTTGGATTATCTGGTATTCGAGCAGCTGGATGACTAGATTATATTCTGGCTACTTCCAGTTCTTTGATGTTGAATTTTCTTTATATTTCTTCTTGATTATCAGCTGCTCTTCTTGCAACGACTACAAAAACCAGTTCTGGAAGTGTGTAAAGGCCAGATTTGTAAATCAACAGAGAAAGGATAAGTTTGTGTTTTGACAACATTATCTTCTGCTATACTAAAAAAAAACACCACTGTTTTTTTAAAGAACAAATTCGGTTTCTGAACAGGAAGAGTAGGTGAGAAATCACATGCTTGATTTCTCACATATTCCGCTCCTACATCACACATTTCTTACCTTTATAAATCTAGCACAACAAAGAGAAGAGACATACTTAGCCTTTTCCTGACATCTAATTTAAATGCAGAAGTTGGATTGGTTCATTTAGTTTTGCTGAAGTAGAATAATATCCAAGCATTTAATTATTTCCCAAAATTCCAAAATAAATGTAGTCCCCAGACTACATGATATTCCTAAATGTGTAGTTCAGCTACAGGAGTTAAAACACTAGAAATTATTTGCTGTTCAAATGTCCAGATCAAACCTAGGAACCTGACCTGATTTCTTGGAGGGTGACTTGAGTTTTAACTTACACTTTTATCGAAGGTAAGTTTGGCCTAGAAAAAAATTACTTTGCCTTCACCTAAATATACATATTTATTTCCACAAGTGAAGCATATGTGATACAATACTGGTTAGGCAAGTTCTATCATGTCAGGTTCAGACATGAGGAATTACAATATTAATGACAGGTGGTGAATCCGCAGACACTGTGACTTCCCGTTTAGGACTGATATCTCTGACAGCTTTGCGTGTGATATTTACAAATAAAGAAGAGATGCAAACAAAAGGCAGACATTGGAAATCATGGAATCAAATGTTTATGCCAAATGTTTATCCCAATGATGACAATGGTGAATCATCAAACCTACATGCTTTTAGTGCGCAAATTATACTGCTAGTTACATCAAAGTTAAAACAAAATTGCAAACAGCCAAAACTCTGTGAAAGATTGTCTCTCAGCTATTATATTTGGTGTGTCATACACATTTGCCATGAAAGGCAACTACCCTTATCTGAGATAATTGTGCTGGTGGTTGTGTCCATCACTGTCCAATAGCTTTTGACATTAAACAAGCAGGGTTAAGCAGTTTTATGGATGAATCTGCCTAATTCCACATAAGGTTTCCCACGCATTGTATTTAAAGGACACAATTTTCTTTTACTGTATCTGAATTCCAATTGCAGGCATAGTTCATTCACTGAATGTATTCCAAGAATACACATGTATTTTTTTAGATTTCAGATTTTACAGGGGATTTTACAAACCATTCAAAATAGTCCTGTTATTTTTATTTCTCAAAGTTGTATGCCACCCATCTCACCAAGGGCCACTCTATGCAGGTTACAGATGGAATAAAATGTACTATAAAACAGTAACACAAAAAATCATAAATTTAAAATTAAGTTAAAAGAGTCCTGTTGTGTTAGGTTAGAATGCTGTATTGCAGGCTAATTCTGCCAATTGCTAGAGGTTCAATCCTGACCGACGTCTGTCCTTCTGAGGTGGGTAAAATGAGCACCCACATTGTTAGAGGCAATATGCTTTGTAAACCGCTTGGAGAGGGCTGTAAACCTCTGTGGAGCAGTATATAAGTCTAAGTGCTATTGCTATTAGGCAATCCATGATATTGGGTACTAAGAAACTATGAATGATGACTCTCTAATACAGATTGGAGCTAAGCAGCTACCTGGCTACATTGAAATATGTCGTATCATCATATAACCCCACCAGGGGAAGCAGACAAGATTGGCCCCTGCTAAAGCTCATAGATCCAGAAAGATGCTCAGTTATGCTGAATGCTGATGATAGACCAAGAATATAGCAATGATCCCTTTAAACAAAAGACAAGAATTGGATCTAGAACTGCATGAATACCACATATACACATCTCCCATTCAGTTATGGCACAAACTGGCTCTTAATCAGAGGTGAAATTCAAATTTTTTTTACTACTGGTTCTGTGGGCGTGGCTTGGTGGGCATCACAGGGGACAGATATTGCAAAAATCTCCATTCCCACCCCACTCTGGGGCCAGCCAGAGGTGGTATTTGCCAGTTCTCTAAACTACTCAAAATTTCCGCTACCGGTTCTCCAGAATTTATCAGAACCTGCTGAATTTCACCCCTGCTCCTAATGCTGTTTTCACCTTGAAAGAACTATAGGCCCTTAGTTGGCAAGGTAGCCAAACTTGGAAACAGGCCAGCAGTCACTAATACAGTTTACATCACTGACCTAGAAATACAATAAAATATACTTGCAAACATTTTCAGGAAGGAAACGCAAGGCTGAGTAAAGAGCTAAACTGGCAGTTGGTGGGCAAGTGAGAACTGCAGCGGTGCAGTATTGTCTGTGCACTGGGACAGGCAGCTGGAAAAGCCGCAGCCACCGCCAGGGACTTACTACAAGGTGGAGGAAGGGTCTCCTGTGAGGAAGGAAGTAGAGATGAGCTGAGGAGGATCCAGAGATGGTAAACTCAATCAGGAGTCAAAAAAAAGTACCGTAATCTCTTCTCGGCCAGACTGGATTGAAACTGGAGTCAGAAGGGAGGAGCTCAGAGGCATGGCTTCATCTTCAACCCAGTCTCGAGGCCAATCGGCTGTGATAATACCATCTCTGGACCATCCTGCAAACAACTCTTAAAATAACAGTCCAGGTAAGACCGTCATTTCTTGGTTGGCCTGTTCCATTCTTGCTTTATTTCTACATCTGGTCTCCTCCTGTCTGCTGCAGCTGATGGCATAAGAATCATCATTACCTAAGCTTTTGCTCTTGAGCTCCCATTACATTGCCTTTAACATCCATTTCATGCCTCAGATCATACCGAGCAATCGTATGGTGTGCTGAGAGTCTAAATCCTCTTAAGTGATTATTCCAATTGCATCTGTCTGGTTGCTACAACACTCATTTGTGAGACTATTGTGAGCGTGTATTGATGGGCATACGCAAGGGCAAGGATGCACGTACACGTCTACTTGTGTGTGAGCGAGCTTAGTTAAATGTAACTGCTGGATGAGGTGC